GAGATAATATTATCACATCTGAGTAACTCAGTCAATAAGAGAATTATTTTCTCTTAATTATAGAAGATCTAGAATAATGTTCTTATCTATAATATTAACTGTGTAAAGAAGCAGACTACTCTTCTTAAAGATTTCTTCTGAGTCTGTGATTACATACTTCACTTAAATTATGTTAAAATAATGATATTTTATTTCATCAGTAAATTTTATATAGTCTAACAGATCTATCTTCTTTCAACTCTTCATCAAAGAAAAGAAATAGAATATGAAGTTAATATCTATCTCAGAGTTGAGTAGATATCTCACTGATATCTTCTTATTCAGAGTATGTATTATGATTGTAATATGAACTTAAAGATATGAGAATTATTAATTCTTCATTTCTTTCTCTTTATTATCTTTCACAGATATATTTGTTAGAAGAGAAGTTAACTTTGAGAAGATATCTTCTCAGTTTCTTCTCTTCTTCAGCTTCTTACAATCACTGATATAGTATTTATCAGCTCTGCAGTTGAAACAGAGATCTTTATTAAATCTTTTTTAATATTTCTTTATAGTGAGTGAAGAATCAGAATACTTGAAATTCTTCTTTACTTTCTCTGCACTGAAGCTGTTATAATACTGTTTAGATTCTGTTATTAATTACTTAGAAGAGATCTTATTAATCTTTTTCTCAGAGAATTGACTATTTAAATAGATTCAGAAAGTCAGGTTGACAAGCTCAGTATAATTAATTAATGAACTCTGATATTATAATATTATTATTCATATCTTATAAGTCAGCTTTATAAGATAAAGCTGTGTTTTTAATTGATTTAAATTATTAATTAATTTCTCTCAATATTCTTTAAATCTTGTATTGAAATTGAAAGAATTCTTATTATTTTATTAATATAATAAGTTAAACTACTGTGCTGCTGTGAAGCTGTGATTACAGTGATTTTTGATTTAATTTAATAGAAAGTTTTTGAATTCTTCTCAAGTTATAATAGTATTGATATGCTCAAGCTCTCTCTTCTTGATAATCTAAGTAGTCACAGAGATATCTTCAAGAAGGTTGACAGTGTATATTACTTATATCTTATGAGTATTATACTGGCTCAGATTAAGGTGAAATTTCTGTTCAAGAGTATAGATAAAGCTGTGAAATTCAGACAAGATGTTTCTCTTATATCTCAGTGAATCTCTGATCTTAATCTCTCTATCTTCATAATAGATATAAGTGTGTAAAGGCTACAGTGATGACAGAGCAGTTGAAGAGCTCATATTAAAATATACAGCAGATTCAGAAATCTCAGATTTCTGCTGAGATAGAGATGTACACACTCTAGAAAATGATGTAGTGTTTCTCTCAGAGAGTGAGATTGAGTCAGTTTCAGTGTAAGTGTATGAGGTCATATCAGTCTGTTAAAGCTTAACTGATTCAAATGTATAATCAGATTGAGTAATTCAAATTGTAATATAATGAAACTAAAGTAATGACTAGTTAGTAATATTATATAAGAATAGTTGTTTAAGAAGCTGTATGAGTGAGCTTGACTATCTTGCTTGAATAACAAGCTTATAGGCTACAGAGTTATTGCAAGAATATCACAGATACAATACTTAGTATACTAAGAAGATTGTATAAGACACATAGTAACTCTTGTATATCTTTCAGTAGAAGAAAAATGAATTACTGACTTCTTTGATAAGAAGTCAGCATCTAGTTATTCTATATAGATAATGAGTGAATACTCTTCTCTCATTTCATGAGTGAGAATAGCTGAAGTGATATCTCAGCAGTGTCTCATTGTCAAGAAAGAGTAATCTGCTGATCTTATATAGAAGTGAGATTCTTATATTCATCAATTGAATCTTTCTATGATATATCTGAATGATGTCATAGAGTGGTTGGAAACCGGTTCAGACAGAATGAAATCATCCGCATGAAAGCAATGAGCCGTGTGAAACCGCAATGAGGTCTTGGCGCGGCCGGGAGCGTGATAGATTCTGATAAGACTGATAATCTTTATCAGAATCTTTCTCTCTTTATTAGCTGCTGAATCATACTTTTATAGAATATTTAAACAGACTACAGTCTTATTAACAGTACTCTTAAGATTCTTTATAATATTATGTAAAGTTCAGATGTAAAGAATCTCTGTTAAGATTCTTCATTTGTATTATTAATTAATTTTGATAAATATAACAGCTCTGCTTATTTAAAATGAGAGAATCTTAAACTTGTATCTATCTTTCACAGCTGCTATAACTTTTCTTATATTAATCAAGTCTACAGCTGCATGCAGTTCTCTATTACAGTTATATATATTATTACTATTTATAAATTTCAAGAATTATTACTTGATCAGACTGTTCTTAATATTTCTGAGACTGAATTTCAGACTGATCTCACATATGTTATAATTTCACAGATTAAAATATATCAAGATCTTCTATTTAAATAACTCTTTGATTATTTCAGATTTCATCAGTCTGATGATGAAGTAAGCAGAAGCATGCAGATATATAAGATTAATTATATAAGATATTAAAGTTAATAAATAACTAAGTTATATTTCTTTTCTTTTTATAGATCTCTATTAATTTATATTCTATATAGTTTTATTTATTCTTTATTTCATCTTTTTCAAAGTTTATATTTAATCTGTTTATTCACTTATTCTTTATTACTGTAAGTTTTTCACTCTTTATTCTATCATTCTCTTTATCTGTTCTACTCACAGATTTACTGAATTCAATCATTAAATTTAATAAATCTATTACAGCTGATTCTATTATAATCACTGAATCTGAGAATGAGTAGTTAGTAGTCTACAGAAGATATTAAAATAATTCAGATATTAATTTATACAGCTTAGATTTAATATAATAATATCTTTGATCTGAGAGATTGAGAATCTTCTAAGATCTATGTTATTAAGATCTGTATTATATTATATAATAAGAGATATTGAATTCTTACAGCTATTAATATATATATAAGAGAAAGTGAATGAATCTCAGAGTATTCTCTTTCTCTTTAAAGAATTTATCTTATCTCTCATCTCTCATCTCTGCTAGCTGTTTTTTTTTTCAGAAATTATATTATTTATCTCTATTAATTCATCAGAAGTTCAAAAAATTATTAATACTATTATTATAGTTGAAAACAATGACTTAAAACACATTCATTATAAGTAAGATTCTTAAAATGATAAAAATTACAATTCTAACAATCAGTATAGTTCTTAATAATCTTATTCAGTCTATTAAGTTATTAGCTATTAATCTTATTCTTAGTTCTGTATCTGTATCTGTATCTGTCTCTGCTATATCTATCAGTTCTAGATTATTAAGTTAACTGTTAACTCATTTAACTGAAAGAATATCTGAGAAGCTGTTAAAGAAGCTACAGACTTTCATTAAATTATTCTATACTTATGCCCCGGTGGCCGAATGGTTAATGCGGCCACCCGGTAGCACCTTGGCGTGGGAAACCAAGGCGCGTGGGTTCGAAACCCGCAGGGGATACATTAAATCCGGAACTCAAGCACCTCAGGTTCCTAATAAATACAGAGGTGTACAAATCGCTCCAATGAATTGCTCTATGTTCCTGGGCTGGGAAGTTATTATCGCATGTATCTAATTGTCACTCCTTTGTATTTTCCTATGTTCTTGTTATCTTGGCGTGGTCTCAACACCTGTATTTCCTCCTGTATAACCAACACTTGACCTGTATTTAACATCACGCAAGGACTCATCATAAGCTCCGCTTGCATATGAGTATAATGAAAGAATAATAATAATAATAATAATTCTATACTTATTAGTCAGTCTTATAAGAGAGTCATTAAATTAATATAAAAATTAATATAAATTATAAAGCTCTTCTTCTACAATTCTATAATACTGTTTTTACAGTTCTCTACAGTTACTGTATTAGAGAAGAAAACTCTTTTATCATCTATATCAGTACTCTGAATCAGTGCTATGAAGCTTGTATCAGTTATCATTATAATAATACTGAAAGTTACTACTCTTATTATAGAAGTGAGTCACTTTTTAATATAAAATATATTAATTCTAATACAATTAACTAATAGTTATATATAGTCAATATCAGTAAGAAGAATAATAAAGTGAAAGAAAAGAAGTAGAAGAATAAAAAGAGAAAGAAAGTCAAGAAGAAGAGTTTATTCAAGAAGTATTCTGCAGCTGAGAATATAGAAGTTAGAGTCTTGAAAAAATAGACAGTAAGTGTTAAGTCAGTTAATGATTATAATATTGAGATTTTAACTCTTTATATTGAAAATAAGACTCTGTGTAAGAAGAATGCAGTTCTAAAGACTAAATTCAGAACTATTATAAGTCTTCTTCAGATCACTTAAACTGTTCTTGAGAATAATATATAAGCTGATAAGACAGAGTGAGATGTTTTTTATTTTTTTTCTTGCTTAGTTAGCTGATGCTTTTGCACTGAAAAATGAATCTCTATATATTTTTACAGTTCTATCTCTTCTATTATTATTAATAATAAGCTGTAAAATCAATCTTGCAGAGTCTTCTGTTTTGAGCTTAGCTCTGCAACATCTTCGCACACAGAGACTCATGTGTATTAAGATATTTTATTTTTAAGTCAGACACCGTCTATTTTGCAGTTATATATAACTATATAGAACAGTATAATTCTTAATGCAGCTTTCTTGTTATGAATTATGAATTAATTGTATTTACTGCTGAACAGTTCTAGATTACAGTTCTCTTAGCACTGTGATACCTCAGCATGCTTGCTGCTCAAGATGATCACAGTGATTAGTATGTGTGATCTTTTCTCTGTAGGTCCTTATATATACTTAGGCTGTTTCTATTGCAAATGTACTGTTTCAAGTGTGTGATCACTGGCCAGGTGAAATGAACAGTGCGGAATCACCACTCTCCATTAACATTGAGAGATAAATTGATTAAGTTAGTTTAGCCATCCTGTCTCTCTCACTAGAGTATGAGTGGGATGATGAGCAGCTCATGCAACATGGTACAATGATATCCATGAGGTGAAGGTAAGTGCAGATGGGGGTGGGGCATGAGTGATTGATAGAAAATATTGATCTATGTGCAAAGTCCAAGCTCTGTCCATGTTTATAGTTACAATATAATTAATCAGATGATAAAGATGGATGCTGCCTACTGCTGCAGTGAACAGGAGGTGATCCATCAACTACAGATGTATCCAAGTTCTACTTAATTTCCATTCAACCAGGATCTACAAAGGAACATCCGTGTGCATACGTATCCGCTGCTCGTATCGTCCCTTGATGTAGCCTGTCAGAGTAGTCAGCGAAAGCCTTTCACCCTTCTACTCCGCATGGGATCCTTTAACCAGCTCCTCGCAGTCTGGAATCAAATCGCCCCGCGGTTGCAATTTTCCCTTGCGTCTAGCTGGTGAAGATCATTCCGGACCGTCGGTACCAATTATTCCGAGGAGATGTTGGTGCCCGAACACTCTGGTGATTCTGGCCAAGCAGATGTAGTAGGATTGAAAATTTCAGGGCTCGATTAACTTTCCCCCCGGCATGTATTCGGGCGCAAGGCGCGGAATATTCATGGAAGTTGAATTTAATTTCACATAAGCTTGACGCATCATTTTTCGTGCCTGTCACCCGGACAATATCCCTGCCATTAGCCGCTACATTGCAACCCAACCCCCAAATGCCAACCTTCCCCTCACTCCCCGAAAGACGATGGATCTTCCATGCAGTTTGATCAACCCCCAAAAGGGAAGCTGGCCTGGTGCAGGTCATGGTCTCCACCTGTGCCTCTTTGTCATCAATTCGGACACCGAGTAGTATTACCCGCTATATCGTCTTGGCCGATGGAACTAACTCTCGGCCTCTTGGAATTCCTGCTCAGAATCTCTTCTTCCCCTTCTTCGGCTGGGGCTGCGAAGCTCCATTGCGCCTTCGAATATTCTGCTTCGTCAGACAACGTCGATACATCAGAGTCATCCACGGTAGGAGCTGCCTCAGAGCCCATCTGGTGTTGAGATCTTGAATGAAGAAGCTGAGATTGAGCGTTTGAGTATGTTTCATTTGCTGTCCTAATAAAATTCATCCCTCTTTTCATTTGCCCAGTCCCGAGCATTTCGATATGCACATACTCCTTGCCGAAATGTTTCCAAGTTCCCAGTCATGCCCCAAGTATTGAGTTGGGTCATAATATATTCAGGGCGATCACCTGAGCCTTTGGACTCAGTGAGATGAGTTGTGTATAGCTTGAGTGTACCGCCATGATAAGTTGATGTAAGAGTGTAAGCACTGTTGTCATAAGTTGAGCCCAATCCATCTTGTTGGTATGACTGGAGAGCATGCATAATACCCCGAGCTCCTAGTGCGCCGTCATAACAAGCCTGCCGTGTAGCCACAGCCAACCATTGGAAGATCATCCCGTGTTGATGGAATGATATAATTGTAGAGTTCATTGCGGATCTGACGATTATTTTTGAGTTGTTTAGGACGTGCACCATAGAAGTGATCTGGTCTGGTAGAAGCAAGTGTGCCATCAGTTAAGGGAGCAAGATTTCCAAATGAATAATCCCCTCCAACACATTTAAGGTCACTGATATCACTGTCAAGAATTGGAACTACTGAAACTGTAACTGGCTTCTCTTTGGATGCATATGCATTTCTCAAATCAGACAGGTTGGGTCCTCCCAATCTTGAAAACCTCTCTACCAGGCAGACAATCATGGAGAATATCCGGAGTGAAATAAAAAATTTCACAGTGCGTGCTTCAGCTCAGTAAACTGTTGAGTGATGGGCCTATGAAGCTTTTGCCATGGCTCTTGAGGGCTGTTTCTTCGCGTTCTTGGTTAACACAAACCTTTGATAGGTTAACTATTCCAGTAAGACTGGCTGAGCTTCTGTGGCGTAGTTATCGGAAGGATACTCAAGGCACTGGCGCTTGCGGGATAGCCTAAAGTTGTGCGACGAAGGCATATGGCGGTCATAGGGCATTTAAATTCTTAAAAAGGACAGAAGCGGAAGTAAAGGGCGTTTTGTAGTAAATTATCGCCCTCGCAATCATGGTGGCGTTACTCCACCACATTATTGAAAGCTCATATCCACCACTGGAACTTTGCGACTATTGAAAATACATATCTGCCATTGGAATCCAACAAGAGACACTGATTCGTTTCAGCCTAAACGCATTGGGGCCCAATGGCAAATCTACTAGGGTCGCACTCCAGCCCACCACCAACGTTGCGCAACCCCTCCTACAGGGAGATAGTGATAAATAGTGCGAATTTCTGGCGCTGAAAGCCGAGCGTCATTGCTATGCCAGAATCTTCATCTGATATTGCGTTTCGAAAAGGTGAAAGAGTTATTTATTCGTCCACCAACAAGTGAACCATATGTTCCAACTTGCACCCCGCCGTCAACAATCGAGATCCCAGGCCGGTTCTGCTCGCTGGGTTCTATCGAGGAATCGGGACTCTGGTGATCCAACTACATGAACGTGCGAGTTCATCGGGCAACTGAACAGGCTGGTTTGCGAACCACTTGGGATGCTAGGGTTTGCAAAGAAGAAAAGCTGTTTACATGCTATTGGCTTTGAGCAAAGCGAATACTACTTTTGCTTTCGTGAAATTTGCAAAAAGAAACAAGAGTGTGGACATCACCAGGCATGTCAAGAGACTCTGGCGCTAATTGTTCCTGAGAGGACAACTCACGCTCTCGACGATATAATATGTATAACCCGTTAAAGATGGAATTTGTGCCATGTCCTTCCTTTGGATATCCTCATCAAGCTGGACTTGACTCTCCTTCTTCATTCTATGTTTCAGCCAAGACTGTCCTTAATATATTTAACTCTTTGTTCGTCGAACTAGATATTTTGAACCATGGCTGTCCGCAATATCCCTCCCGAAACAGTTATTATCGGCATTGATTTGGGTTTAACTCATACAGGTGCGTATCTCCGTATTGTCCTCCCCATGCTCTCTTTATGTGGAACGCAATGATTCAAGAGCGGGATCTAGGCATAGTCATGCATAGTGCTTTGGGCGAGTAGGTTGATTATTGAACCGAGGCGTTTACTGATATCCTGACAGGAGTCGCATTTTCGTCTATAGACATGGAGGCTCCACTTGACGTGGATAGATGGCCAGGACAGAAGGAGGTAGCGAAGAAAGTGCCCACGAAACTCTGGTATCGTGCAGGCTGCAAGACACCCATATCATGGGGATTCGACGAACCTGATGAGCTACATCCTGGAATGGATGTGGTGGATTGCTTTAAATTATACCTTGACCCTGGTTTCCAGCCTGGTGGCTCCGAGAACAGCGCTGAGGTGTTCTGGACACATGAGGATGTTCAAACATGGTTTATCGATTTTTTGACCGCCCTTCGACAACACATTATCCAGTATATAAGACATACAGACCAATTAGCTGACCAGGTGGTGGGCGAATGGAAATTCCACCCAGTGGAATATATTTTTAGTTTCCCGACAACCTGGCAAAACCCAAAGGTGGTTGATGCCTTTCGCAGAATTGTGAGGAGTTCGGGTTTTGGAGACTGTGAAGCCCACTCAGTGGAAATTAAGTTGACCGAAGCTGCGGCGGCCGCAGTTTACTCAGCAAAAAACTTTAAAAATCAGCGGGCAGTCCAAAGCCACAAAGGAAGGAGGCAGCTAGCAGTTGGAAAAGCGGAGCGCGTTCGAGACGGCAACGTTATTCTTATTTGTGATGCTGGAGGAGGAACAACTGTCAGAAGCTCCCTCTATTGTCTACAGGAATTGTTCTTCTGACTTAATTTCGCAGGATGTATCCGTCCTTAAAGTTTTATCAACTGAAAAATTTGAAATCCGAGGCCAGGTTGAAGAGGTACTTCAGTTGGAGCAACTCGACTACGTTAATGGTATGTTAGTCTCGCTTCTGCTTTGCTTCCGGCCGGGCCGCTCATGCATAACGTACGTAAACTGTGTAGGACGAGCACTTGGTTCTGTGCAGATTGACCAGGCTTTCCAAAGGGAAATCGAAACCCGTTTGAAAAAGATCGATTACAAAAGTGGCGACAGCCGTTGGTCTCCGAAATCTGCCGCACGAAGTTTGACAAAAGGCGATTTTCAGACTATCAAGCATAACTATGGGTACCAAATAGTCGCATCCTTAGACACAAATGCCCCCCGCGTCCCCGGACTCCCAAAATCCTATGACAACCCAGAAGCAGGCTTCAAGAACGGAAGGATAATATTGACGGAGTAAGTTTATAAACCTGCGTTATGTTTATTACTAGCACAATCGAATTACGAATTACCTGACCAGAAACAAGCTCTGATATCCGCTGGTTGTTTGACGAACAAATCCAACGGATCTTTGGGATGATTGATGAGCAGCTTGAACGTATAGAAGATATCACACCCCCAGTGGAAGTGGTACGTTGTGTGATTTTGGCCCCTTGTTATATTAAATCTGACCATCTGCCGACAGACGCATGTTGTCCTTTCCGGAGGGCTCGGCTCCTCTCCCTACGTTCAAGATTGCTTTAAAATAAACTATGGCTACGGAAAGGCAGCCAAACAGATTTTGATTTCAGAGGATCCGTGAGGAACAAACTTAAAAATCGGATGACTTTCTAGAACATGGCGCGCTGACCAGCCCTATAGTCAACTAGCGGTCTGCCGCGGTCTTGTAATCGACCGAATTCATCGTTTGAGACATGGACACTCTGTCCTATCTACTCGCTGTAGTTCAATCTCCTACGGTATAGTGGTCAACAATAGAGTTCGTGGGAGCCAAACCCCCCCCGGCTTCAATGGCAATGTGGAAATAAGCCCATATAACGGGAAGCGATATATCGTCAACCAAATCCAATGGCTTATCGAACGCGATCAGATTATCCAGCACCAAGATATACGGCGTAAATTCGATCGTGTTTTTGAAGCGACTAATTCTGGGATCGCCTGGAAAACTTTGATCGCCATGTCGAGGTCACCTGCTAAGCGCCTCCCACAAACCATCAACCAAGGAGATGCCGACGTGAAATGTACAATTGAGTCATATGTGGACAGGGAATTCCTACGACAGCACGCCCAACCTGTTAAGCAGAGACGGTGGAGTTCGAGCCGAAAACCAGAACTTCAGAAAATACAGTATGAAGTGCGTTTATGCATCGCGTCATCATACGTGACGTTCGAAGTCTGGTTGGGGGATCGAGTGGTCGGGAAGAGTGAGGAGATTCACATCGCTTGGCAGTATACGAGTGAGGACGAGAGTGACCGGCAGGTGACGCCAACTGAATATCCGGTGGATTGGTCAAATTATGGACGTGCAAAGGTGGCTAAAGGTAGCCCTTGGCCCATATTTCTTCGTTGAATAATTGGGGCTGGCTACATTTTATCGTTTGTAATAGTGTGGATCTTCAATTCATAAATTGACTGTCATTTATTTACGAGGATAGCAGGCACCTACATAGTAATTGAGCATGGTTAGAAACTCAACCCTGATCATGACTATTAGTAGAATCAAGGCCCTCATATCAACGTCATCTAACTGACTATATTTGAATATTAGAAGAGTTTTTCAGTTGATCATTCTATAGAGTCGCTACTCTATACTCCGTAATGAGATTGACATGACAAGATTTTCCTTTTCTAACTCCCCCTTTCTCATCTCTTTTTCAACCACCTACATTCAGCTACTACGTACGGGATACGCGGTACACCCCGGACGATAACCACTCGCGGGTTTCTGGTCACTACGTATAAATACCCAGAAGCTCAAAATGTCTTTTCTTGCTCCTCTCTTTTCTATAGAACGGATAAACAGAAACACAGAACGTGCACAAATTAAATATCTCCACATCCCCAGTGTCCGGATGAGAAGACAGCAGAACTGGGAATTCTCATCATAGTTTCTAACATCTAAATATGCCACGTCAGAGCCTGCCTCAAATAGGCTAGAGAGGGCATACGTGCCACAAACTGAGGGAAAGGATGCATGCCGACCTGATAGTTTCGGTGTTGCTAAGGCTTGATTATCTTTGCCCAAGCGGAAACATTGTGTTGCGCCGCGCTTTTGGCAGTTTCATGCAAGGGTTTTTAGGCTGGGATATGGCAGTCAATTTGTTATGTTGGGGGAGAGTAGAGAGAGGTTTCCAAGAAACCCGATTCCTCGGCCGATGATGCAAATGACTTTTTTCCACGTTGCTCAAATAGTCATAATGATAGAATATCAAAATTATATATAACAATGTAATTTTTTTCCACAGGTGATTAAGGTTTGAAGTGGGTCTCATGATAATCTCCAGCGAGTATAAAATATAATTGGGAGGTTTTTGTGATGAGATCAATTCCTGTTTGAGGATGATGTCAAATATCTCTCGGGTTAACTGAGATAAATGTTGAGTTATCAAATATTTTTTGCCCGGGCCTTGTTGAGAAGGTGAACAGCGATGGCACAAGTTGACTGTTGAGAAGCCTTCATTATTATTACACTTCCAGCCGCAGTAAGCGCGAAAATGAAGAGATGGTGAGGCTGGCGTTTTCAGGATAGAAATGCCTGTGGATGTTTGCGCCTGGATGAAGCCCGTAACTAGTTATTTATTAATCTGTAAGTTAATCTGCAAAATTAATTTTTCATTTCTGCCACATTTGCAAGCAGGGGTGATAAAATAGTTGGGTTTTCGGGCTTTCTGTCCCTTTATTCAACAAATAACCCAGCATGCAAAACATGTGTCATTTTGCAAATATGCATCAAATTTGTAGGGAGAAATGGGTGACCCCGAGAATTGAGCACAGAGTTGTCCATCTTAAAAAAATAAATTTAAAAAAATAAAAAAAATAAAAAAAAGCTAAGCTTTGTTTAATATTCGTCAGAAGCTAGCTATTTACCGAAGCACCACCACCATGTTGGTGGGCAGCTAACTCAGGATTTTTCCCAACAAAGGAACTGCCCAGCGCCTGGGTATTATAGCTTTGAAGACTTAAAGGATGACGTGGTAGTTTAATGTCATCAATAGCTCCGTGCCGGTTGAAACATGGGCCTTGCCTGGGGGTTTGCCGTTAAACAACATTGCCGACCCGGGGTGCACAAAACAAGAAGCTCATTTTCCTAGGCCACGACATTACAAAATTCTCTCTTGCGATCATAGAATGAATGTACTGTACTTCTGAGGCATAATCATTTTTTAGTGCAAACAATGCAGGTATTATGGGATGTGGTTCCAGCAAGGTTCAACGCGACAACGATCCTCCCGGTACCAGTTATAACAAACCCCGTCCGGCAACTCGTCCAAATTCACATCGAACGCAGTCCCAAAGAAGGCTTGCCACAGGCACCGGGGCGAGAAATCGGACCCAACCTCTATCTGCAGTTCCAAAACCGCACTCAAGCTCTCAGCCAAGGACGCATTCGCAGTCGACAAGTTCGAGGACACATCTTCATACTGGAGCGAGGACGCGGCCATCGAGAACAGGCACCCGTCGCCGTCATCCCACAGCACTGGGGACAATCCATGATGGCCAACCGCCAGAGGATAGCGCGATTCGGGAAGAGATCAATTCGTTTCGGCTGTTCATTGATCAGCACGCGATCAATTTTTATCGCACACAATGCGACGAGAGCGGGGCATCGATATCCAGATATATTGCGCGAACGATCATTTCCAATGTTATAGAGAAGCGTTCGAATGGTAAAGTAGAGCCCATTTATTCCTTTTTGCAATATCCCTTTTCATATTCAACGGTCCCCTCACTTTGGAATTGTCACTTAAACATTTAGTAGAGAACAGCGTTGCCATGAACCTAGCCAGCGCCCTCGAAAAGTACGCTAATGATGCGACCAGCCAAAAGCGAGGTGAACACCTTCTCATATTGTGTAGAACGGCGAGTATGATAGGGAGCATGATGGACAGGCACCCAGAAAGCTGGGAGTTTAGTTGGCGTGGAGGGGTTGATATCGTGTTTCCCAGCGTGATGCGGGGCCACGCAGAATTTATGCAGGCAACGCTGGATATATAAATTTTTTCACTTCGGAAATCTCAGTTTTCTCGTCGCCTAGTTGCCTGGCTGCGTCTTCGAAAAGCCAATTGGATGTATTTTTCCCTGCTTCGTTTCAGATACCAAATTTTAGTCTATTAATCTTCTCTTCAATAGTAGGAAATCCTCCTACACTTGTCCAAAATAATTAGCCTCGGACCGAATTACGATGATATTTTATTTTCAATGATTAATATATGAACAGAACATATTTATATCAAAACAATATTCGTTCCCGGAAACATAATTTCGTCAGAAAACGCAGCATTTATAACGCATGAGCATAGCGAGACCCACATAAATATTGGAGAAGAAAGATAAATATTCGAGAAATGAGGCACCGTGAGATGAACAACACTTCTAATCTCGCACACGGTCAACGTCACAGCGTTGCTGGAGAAGCCACAAGCCCAAATCTTCTGGATCCGAGTAACGTGGGGAGATTGCAAAGCGGTCGTCCGCGTAGGGTAACGAAGACATTGTAAGAAACCGGTGCCGAGGCTGCGATGTCGGGAGTGAGTGCTGGCTGCCATTTGAGCGTTCGCCTAACATATCTCTAATTAGCTTTGTCAAGGGTCTGAGGTGAAGTATTGAAAAGTATGCTCGAACCTTCAGCCCAGGTTAACACCCTGGGTTCCTTGTTCATATCGACCGGTGGTCCTAAACGTGGGTTTGAAAATGTTCGCAGTTCCAGGCACAAACGATTCGAGGTCCAGGGAATTGTGCTCTCCAAGAAGGCCAATTCCGAGCGTATCTGTGATAGTGTGATATGATATAGACGAAGCGCAGTTAAGCACGTCTGTAACTCTGCTTTAGTTTTTAGGACCCAACAGATGTCGTTGATTCGGCGCTTGGCCGCATTTTTGTCCTTGCTGCCAGCGATGATTTGTTGCGCCTTTTTGAGCTCTTTGTCGGTGCGGTCAATCTGGCGTTCGGTGTATCTTCTGCGCGAACTTGGTAGATAGTTTCTAAAATTTTCGAAATCATATTTGACGCCGATAAGTAGGTCGGACGTGCAATTTATAATGTCATCGGCGGTTCGCATTTCTCCTGCTGCACCAGCCAACCCATTTATATACTGGATTAGGGTGAGGAATGACACAATAGGGCTCCATACTGCGAAATCTGTCATGACGGGCTAGAGAGGCTGTTGTTTGTAGCTGATGGCGATTTTGATAAAGAGTAAATTTGGCTGTTGATAAACATGTAAAGTGAAGTTGCCATGAGAAAGGTGGCTAAGATATACCGTCGGAACGAAGAGTTTATAGATACCGTCGTCGAGCGCTTTATGACTCTCTCGTATGTGGGGGCATTCGATCCTTAATTGGAACCACATGTAACATCCTCATTTGGGACGCGGAAACTCAAGTGATTAAGAAAATTTCGAGTCAAAGACGCCACTGAGGATCGCTGAGGATTTGCAGTCAAGGAAGATATATGTATGTCCCTTTCCAGTGCAATAGGATTCGCAGCATTGCATCGCCGCTTGGGCTTGTTGGTGGATGCAGAAAGAAATGGTTCAAATTAAATTGTCTTCAATTAAGCCTAAAGTCATCTCCGGGTTTGTTGAATGGATGAGCCCCAACGAGGCTATACAGCTACCGACAGAGGCAGATGCAGAACTAGGAAGAGCCGCGTCGGGCATCCATAAAGAGTATAAAGCACTAATCATGCGACAGGAAAGAGGAATCCTGTCGAGTTCCAGATGACACGCACTACAACAGCTTTGGCCACGGAGCCTGATTTCATGCATGGCATCGCAGTTCAAAGTGATCTCGAGTAAATTGAGCCTTGTCATCACGTCACGCCCCAGGTGGTGATCTCTCTGGTGGTATTAAACGGTTCCTGAAACATGGAGAGGTGGACAAAGATAGGCCTGGAAATCGGTTTGAAACGAAGTATTAGTATTGGGGCGATTCATCAAAAGGTCGAGGAGTGTCCAGCACAATTCTCGGCAATGTACATACATCTGTAGTCAACGTGGTTAAATATAACATTGTTGACATGTTTTAGCGCGCATTTCTGATTTGATATTGTGAGCTGCCAAGCGACCAGTAGCCTTGCGATCTGGAAACTTGATGAGCCCACATTTTAAATTGATAGGAGCCAGTGTCTTGCGCAGGAGTCAAAGAGCGTATCTGCAATGAGCCCTTGGGTATCTCCGCATTGCAACTTTCTGAGTAACTAAAGACGGCCATCCGATAAAGCCGATCAGAGAACCCATAGCAGGTATGGAAATCCCCCACCCCAGGGCCCCGGATCCAGGTTCTGGCGGTGAAAATTTCTGTTTTCGATTCGGAAAGGGCTGTCATGCGCCATTTGACATTCATTATTAGAAAGACGACAAAACTCCATGATGTTGAGGCGCGTACATGCTCAGCTACAGTTTGGGCTGTAACCTGACTGTGCGATCCGGATCGCGCGTATTTAAGGCTCTCTTGAACTAGGCAACACGGCACCAAACCTTGTCAGTAGTATTTGACTCCAATAATAATAAACTGCAAGGTGTACTTTACCCCAATGATAAACTGCGTGAGGAGACAGACTGGTGGGGTTTTGGCGTGGTGTTAGCGGTCTCGCTCTGCAGCGCGATGACGTGAGGCTGCATTTGTCAGAAGTGACGTCAATGCTCGGCGATTTTCATCTTTTTCGTCCGCTTGTTGAAGAACCTTTGGAAGAGACTTTGGCGACTACGAAACCTTCATATTGTTTCTATAAGGTATGCCGTCTTCGTCCTGTTTTCATGGTAGAAATGACGATACATCTCCCAACACGTCTCTCACAGATTTAATGGATCTCATTGAGCCTTCGGAGGCCGCCCCCCCTCCTGCATCCAACCCATCGCCATCGCCGGGCAATGGATCGTCAAACCGCAATAGAGATGGGTCTCTTACAGGGCGTTCACAGAGGCCGAGTATACGAGTCCTACGCTTTCCCTCCAATCCTACACAAACAGCGACGCTTCGAACCAACCGACAGCGCGACAACAAGACAAATGTGTCTGAGATTGCGAACCGGCGTAGAAGTAGCTCGGATCCCCAATGGGTTGGGCCATTTGCCAACCACGGCGCTGATATAGGTCCTGCTGCGGCAACAAGGGATTTAACACGAATGCCTTCGTTAGTAGAGGAGCCTTCATATGAGGAGATTGTCCCACAAGAGAGTGGAAGCTCGCCTCCACGTCCTGGTAATTTAGGGAGACTGTGGCGGACGAGTGCTTTTGCAATATCGTCACTAGGTTTGACGCGTGCTGCCACAGTCAGTGGACATGAAGTAGGTGCAATGACTGACCGAGTGGTTGATCTTCTCGACGTTGTTGGTATGAAATTCCCTATTCCGCGGAGTTTTGTTGGAACCCAAAACTGACTGGCTTGATGTGGCAAACAGACCCTGAAATATCGACCCTGACTACCCTTACAAATGTTCAAAATTCCCTCTTCGTACCTGATCTTGGGCGGCTTTTAAATCGTAGACCGTCGTACCAATTGACTCCTAGAATTGAAGAGGCCTCCCAGCCGGAGGAGCCTGAGGGTGATCGCGAAAGCCTGGCAGGGGAAGAGAAAGATATATCAGAACGATTTCGTCTACAGAGCTCCAGCTCAACAGTTATTGATGACCTTTGTTTCGCAGTTTTACCCGACGGGGAAACGCTTCCTGGCTGGAGTGAGGCAGATAAGCTGGAACTCAATGATCATGTTAGACATATGCTTCATTCGCGGCGATCTAAGTTCAAACGATCTATGAAGGGCTTTGGGCAGTATGTTCGGAAACGTGGGTCAACCCATTAACTAACTCCCTTACGCACCATCATGTCACAGTACTAACATATTTTCATATGCAGCTCTTGGGTTTCTAGTCACGCTCTATGCGACACTAATTACACTTTTTGGTCTTGCTTGGGTCCTGTTCCTCATAGGTGTGTTCTCTGATTACAATGAGCGCTCTACGTTTAAACTTCATAAAGCACATTGACCTAATGCAATATTCGTGAAGTTAGGGTGGATCAATGTTGGCGGGCGTCAGCTCTATATCATCAACGTCATAGACAATGTTCTCGTCGCTTTATTCGCCATAGTAGGAGACGGACTTGCCCCGTTCCGCGCAATTGACACATACCACATGATTTTTGTCGCGCGCTATGCCCACATGACCTGGCGTCTGCGGAAGGAAAAAGCGCTCCCTAAACTCCACAACAAAAACGACCTTCCCAAGGAGAGGATAGACGACACCAACCAACACATCGATACCGAAATAAATACCGTGGATAATCTTAGTGACGGACGCCCCAACGATGAAATCAAACCAGAGGAATACTCAGTCCTCAACGCAAAGCAGCAGAAGCGCCTGGAGCACCATCAAAAGAAGCTCTCGAGATCACACACATTTTACAAACCGCATGAAACAAGCACCCACACAGCCTTCCCCCTCCGCCTCCTGATTGCTATCATCGTGCTGCTGGACTTCCACTCCATCTTCCAGATAGCATTGGGCACATGCACGTGGGCTATCCATTACGAAGTTCGCCCGTCCGCCCTTACGACTGTACTTCTCTGCTGCTCACTTACATGCAACATCATGGGTGGTGTTTTGATTTGGATTGGGGACCGTAAGTCGCGCAAGAAGGAAGTTATTGAGAGAATGTTCCGGCAAGAGTTGACACAAGAGGCGATGAAGAAGGTGGATAAACGGAGAAGGAAGGCTAGCAAACGGGAGAGTATGGATGTGAGGCGGAAAGTATCTCATGAGGGTGAAGAGAGGAGGATAGAGAGAAGCAGCACTGACACGAAAACTTTATCCTAGAGGTTTTTTTACGATTAAACTTTTCTTTTAATGGCGTTCATGGGGTGGGATACAAGCGATATATACACGAACACAAACGTACCGTGAGGGTTAATAATTATACGTACAGTACGATCCGTAGTGCCTTGACAAGATAATGTATAGTAAGTCAATACTATTTAAACCTGAATAACTTAATGAATAAGGGACTGGGAGTTTTGGAAGGTCGATGGATGGAAGGATCCATAGGCGTTTGTCGACGGGTGATGGGATAACGGGAGGAGGGATCTAATACTCACACAGCTTCCGGATTTTCCATTTTTCCGGATGCGCCCCGATGCAAAAAGAGCTCAATCACCACCAGAACTATCTGGGGTTGAACCATTCCTTATGTCAACAGCTTCGCTATATCTAGCTCTGCAGATCTTATAAGACTTTTCTGATATTTTAAAATTTCAGAGTTCAATTTATTATAAAGATGTTTTTCTATGAAATAAGTTAATAATGGCAGCATAATTTAATAAACTGAATAATGTGGATATCATTTACATTTTTCACTTTCAAAATTCCGTCATTCTCTATGAGCTTAGTAAAAGATACCTGTTGTGTCTGATTAATAGTAGCACAGTAGAGTAGAGGGTGCAGGCACTGGAGGAATTGAGTTAACACAAGAAAAGACAAGATCAAACTGTTATTATAAATATATAGCCTGGCCAGAGCTGCAGCTAAATCAAAAGTGATGGTACTTGATCAATCGGGGGGATCTATGCCCTCCCAGAATGACTCTGTCTCTTTTATGTATCCTGTATTCTCCAACGGCTGCTCCCACTCCGCTCGATGCGATTCCGCTATAGCCATATATGGCCCCAAAGTCTCATCCAGTTTCTCTTTGGGAGTCCCCGGAAAATGAACCAGGAGATCGCCAGGATGTACCTGGAGATGTGAAGGGGAGTCTGGATTCAGGTCTAGTCCGTTTGGTGCTCTCATGTAGGCATTGAACCAGCGCAGCGGACAGTATACAGTGGATCGGCGGAAGTAATCATTCTCCTTTATAAGGTTACCCATTGCTGACTGGTCAAACCAGCGGAGTTCGACGTTTGGGTTGTAGATTGGGTAGGCGGTTGTGGCGGTAAGCAATTGCACAGACCATGGGTGTACGCGGATCAGAAAGACACCGCTGTTCATTCCGTTCCAATCCTTGGAGAGAAGAAGATGGACGTGCGGCAAATGCGGCGGAGGTAAGAAGGTCTCCAGTGGCATGTTGGGATTCATGAGTACAGTGTCGGCATCGAAGTAGCTGGGGGTCAATTATCAATCATTTGCAAATAAGAACACCGGTTCTTGATGGGAACAAACAGGGGGTCGCAAACTCACAGCAGCCACTCCAGTCGATCATCCACAGGCTTTTGTAACTCCTGTAGTAGAACTGATAGAATGATGGCCATTTTGTTCCAAAAACCATCAAGAACTGGAGCCTGTAGTTTAAATAGAGGATATCCTAATCGGCGGCTGTGTTCTTCATGCGTCTTTAACGCCCTCTCGTAGACCGGGTTGTTTCCCCATAGCATTGTCACTTTACCAACTTTTGGTTGGACATGATGCTTAACGGGGCTTGCTATGGCTTGATACTTAACGGGGTTCGCTATGGCTTGATACTTAACGGGGCTCCCTATGAGTTCTAGTCAGTCCTATCCCAATGGATATACAAGTCTCTCCCCCCTCCCTCTCTAGGATGCAATAATTAAAAGGAATGAAATGAACACATCACACGATAGTTCAAAAATAATTTGAACAACCAAAAAAAGGCAAAAAAGACCAGAGCTACACGTAGGCCAAGTTTTAGCCCAGTGTGCAGGCTTTGAGTATGATAATGCAGTCGCCATCGCCGAATTTGTTGAGGATGTGCCATCACTTTTCGCTCTTGCTTGGTGGCTGGCCAGACAGGGACGTCTGCGCAGTGCGTAAGTGCGCAGTATGTCAAAAATATAAAAAAAATAATAATATTAGAGAAATCCTCCAAACGTGGGTTTGAAAACAATCCATAAATAAAGAAATCACCATTCTGCGAAGGTGAACGGGTTTAAAATCCTCCCTACACCCGGTGGGATCGGCTCATCAACATCATGGGTTGGGGTAAATATCGACGTCAAGTGCTTGATCACCAGCCAATTATTTCAGTTCGGTCAAGCTGAAACAAAAGACTTTGAGTTACGCTTAGGTACGTATGGACATTGTACGCTATAGCCTTACAAGCTAATATCGTTACCGCTGGAAAATGTTTCACATGTATGTATGTATAGTACATACATGTACGTTGTCTGTAAGGTTTTGTCACTCTACCTTACCGTGTGAAATTATGCACCAGCACCTTTTGGTCGAATATTTTTTTCTAACATCACCCGGTTTAGGTCAGCTTTGGGACATGGAAACACTAGGGGGGAATTTTTTAGGGGGAAAAAAAGAAAAAGAACAAAGAAAAATGGAATAAAAGGGGGTTGAATAAGAGTGCTCTTTTAACGGAGTGTGACGCGCGCCTAATAATAATAATAATCATTAAGCTTTTTATGCGAGCCAGCTGTGGAACAGGCTCCACATTTACACTGGAACCAAGGAGAGTCAATTACACTAGTCCCAAAGCAGTTTGGTTTATGCAGTGCTTATTGTATATGATTCCACTCAATATTATAAGAGAATAATACGAGAAGTTTCATTAACTTGAAGAAAACATAGAAAGAATATAGAGAGAGTATTATTTTGAGAAAAAGGCGTGAGAAAATAGGGGTAAATGGGTGCATTTAACTATCATTCAGCTCTTAACTTCTGCTAAAGACCAAGTCTCGTATTGGAGTATAGAGTTTTCTCTAACACGCTTAGACAAAGATAAGATTGATAGACGGGGTAGCTACAATATATCGTACCAAAACTTATATTATTGAAGAAATTAAATATACATACATGTACTCCGTACACCAGGCAGGTATGAACAAGGCGCATGTATGTACAAGTATATAGCTAGAGAGAACAAATCTGGCCAAAGTCAAAGAGTGCGACAGAGAAGAATATTCTCGAGAATGGCTGTCATGACAAAATGAAATGAAGGAAATACTGAGAAGGAAGAAAGGGTATATAGAAAGTAAAGAATCAACAGGGTGAACAAAAAGCCTTCATCCATGTTTAGTCGCAGCCAATTCACTTGATGGTACATTTCTATTCCCTGACCAAAAAGACGGGGATTTGTATTGCCCCTCTTTGGTATGGATGATTGTTGAAAACGGCTACATCATTCTTGCTCGCCTTGCGTCGCCGCTAGTGCCAAAGCCCGATCGCAGCAAATATGGCAATGCCGCCCACCCCGAGTCAAGCCCCCCTGGATAAACCGTAGATCTAGATTGCGGAGAGCTTGTTGGGGCACCTGAGCCGGTCTCCGAGACCTGCGATGCGGTTGAAGAGGGCTGCGCGGAAGAAGAAAAAGAAGAAATAGAAGACGAAGATGCAGATGTAGCAGTAGCCGCGGTGACGAATAGGCTAGAGTCTGAGGAGTGGAGTTGTATCGTGATGGGTTGCGCCAACATGGTGATAGGCCCTGTGACCTGCGTGCTTGAGTCTGCTGTCTTTTGGCGAACGGTGACGATTGTGGTGCCTGTAAACAGTTTGTGCCTTGTGCATCCGGCGTATATTGCCGTGCCGTTTTCCATGAGCGCAGTCATGTACTCGTAATCCCTATTAAAAGCGAGGGTCAATAAATTACCAAAATCGTATTTTCAAAGGGGAAAAAATGGCTCATACTCTCTATCACACGTATGAGAGGCAACACACCGCAGTGGTTACTGATCGTTCGATATTCACATCGGCAGAGGTGGATCCCAGGGGACAGTAGCCCAGGCTATACACCGTGTCCGCTGTTTCCCTCCCATGCCTATTGAACCCCGAAGGAAAACACGATCGATCCGCATTGTTAGACGTAGTAGCATTTTGCACCGTAGGCCCTCCGGAACAAGATTTGCCGCCGAAGGCTCGTACGTCCACGAGCTCGAGCAAGACGCTGGGGGGGGGGGGAGGGGAGGTGAAGGCCGTTGTCAGAGCAATTTGGGTGGTTGGGCCTTGAGAGGCAATCTTGAAAATGAGATCTCTGCTTGGAAATTCCCGTCGATGGGATATACATACAATTCAGTAATAGAACCTTGGTGTAGGTCTGGTATATGCCATGTCCTCGGCCAGACAATGAGAGACACACGCAGCGGGATAAGGAGCTGGAAGGATATAAAACAAAAGGGGCGGAGGCCGTTGAGGGTCAGCTCGGAGTAGAGATTACTACGGTGGCTTAAGTCGAGTCGGGCGCTAAGTAGGCTCTAGCAGCGACATGGAATCAAAAGCACTGCTTATTGCTCAAACAGTGGACAAGAATAATATTAGAGCTGCCAATCTGGCACTGCTCATTTTGCAGCAAAATACTCCGGACTATGATTTTAAGTGGCATTTATGTAAGTACATGTACATTAGCAGGGAATAAATGAAACGAAAATAAACGAAAATGAAACCCAGATCTAGCGTCTCTTCGCGCGTTCGTGAGTACGAATGAAAAATAAAACTGAAAACTGACCTAACCGCCCAGTAATCTGCAAATCCAAACAACCCAGCTCAACCCTGAAAACTCAAAAGAAAATTAAAGCCCATCCATCTAGTCAATAAATATGCCAGCCATACCGAGTCCCACTGAAGAAAAGAAAATGAACGAAATGAAGAATGAATGCATGGAGGTACTGGTACAGAGGCAGGAGTCTATGAGAAACCAGCGAACACGGTCGAAGCAAATGAAACTAGGGGGTTAAAAAAGGATATCGACTCGAAAAAGGGTTATGGGGGGATCAAGCGTGGCAAAAGTACAACGTAACAAGAAAACAGGAAAATCTATCTAACGATCCTGAGGAATTGCTGATAATGGGAATAAACAGAACAGATTGGGGGGGTCCAAGAAACGATGGGAAAACAATTCATCAAATGAAGGGAGAAATGCACAGAAAGGTAAATAAGAGGAGGAAGAAGGATCCATCCTATGGGGTCGCAGCGGTGAACCGGTATCGCGAGACGTGGCCTTCATCCAGCGCAACTTCAACAGTTTGGTCTTTGGGTATCATTTCATGCTGCAAATCCCAACCAGCGCGACGGCAGAGCTCGGAGACCACAACGTCGCATTCACCGAGCATGTTAATATCAAAATCAATGTGGGACACCGGCTATTAGGTACGGGAACGCGTCAGCAAGATTGATCGCGATATTTATTATAGCGGCAGGTAGCTTGTCTTATCAGAAATACTTACATCACGCGAAATGAAAATTTGAGGAACATGGCGAGGTAGAATGCCTGGAACTTCGGCAACTGGTGCCACTTTCAGCGATGTTCCAATGACAATAACGAGGTCCGCTAGATCACGATCGTGACCAATAAGACGCTTCGAGAATGCGCTCGGAAGATCTTCACCGAAGAATGTGATATCAGGCTTGCTGGAGTGTTAGGAAATGGAAAAAATGGACTTTAGTTGTTATGGCAGTGAACGGAACCTACCTTCATCACACCAGGCGTGGGAATATCATAGTCTTCATCATCCGAGCTGTCGTCAAAATCCTTTCTTCTACGATCTTTTGCCTGGGATCCATTTGAGCTGCGCTTTCGTTTCATTCCGCAAGGCCGAGCTGCGAGCAGCTTTTTGCAGGCAGTACATTCAGGAAGTGCTCCCTTTCGGACATGTTCGAAGATTTGCTCACCCGGGACCTGGTACTTGCACTTGACGCAGGATGCTGTCGCGAAAGAGCCATGACATTGTATTAAATTCTCAGGCAGAATCCCCGCATTTGCTTCCAAGTTGTCAATATTTTGGGTGAAGTTCGTTAATAGTTTCCCTTTATCCTGAAGGAGACGGATAAAAGCATGCGTTGGAGAAAACTTCTTCTCTGTCGGAAGAATGTCCTTTGCAATGGAGTAGAAGATATTGGGGTCCTCGTGGAAGAGGCGTATATCGAAAACTTCCTGCGGGTCGGTCAAACCCAGATACTCCAACTTTGAATACAAGCCGGTATCTTTCGAACGGAAGTCGGGAATACCGAGACTGGTAGATATCTAGGAGCCTGGATATCAGTATTATTTTATTCTTCCTTCCCTGAATAACATAACCAAGTTGCTTACACCTGCTCCAGTTAGGACGATGATGTTTTTTGATTTTTTCAGCAGCTCAACTGCGTCATCAATCGTATTGTACTGTGGTAGCTTCACGCGCCGTGAGTATTCGCGCGAAATTCCGATAATTAGTAAGGGATGATAAGCCCTGTCTGGTGCGCCTTCAAGAAACGAGGGCGGCATGATCCCAAACGCAGTGCAGAGTTTCTTCGCGGTAATGGTTCCTCGCCCTATTGTCTCTTCCGCGAAAGCAGCCTTTCCGATTTCATGCAGACGCCTGCGAAAGGCAGCCGCCTCCTCTAGAGTGCACGCATCAGGGACTGGAGTACCGTTTAATCAGTATTTGCTTTGTTTTTCTTGAATGAACGGGCGATTAAAGGACGCGTGCCGGGGCGCAAGGGGAACATTTCTCTTACCATCGCGCAGCTGTTCATCGCGGACAAACTGTAACGAATCTTCATAAAACGACTCAGTCTCCCAGTTATCTTCGGAGTCGTCAGAGTCCCCTGAGGCATAAGAATCGCCGTCCTCCGTGTCGAACTCGGGCTGTGACACGTCCTCGCTGGCGTCAGGGGCGCCTGCTGATATCACTCCGTCCTCTGTGGCTACGTCGACCACCTTCACTACTGCAGATTTCAAAGAAAGCTCCTCGTTCGGTAGCACTGGCGCGACATCCATCTCGGGACGAAGGACAAGACCCAACCAGTAGTAAGCTCCGCTCCGGTAGCTTACATTGGTAGAAGGTTGTTAGCGATTAGGTGTCGGGAAAAAGGCCCTGGTCTCGCAGTTTGGCACGCGGCAGCTAGGCGCGAGGTATTAATAATATCTCCGAGGCTCGGAGGTTTATGATAATCCGGCTCCATCGCCCCTAAAGGCCACGAACAAAGGGGCAAATCCCGAGCGTTCAAATATATCCTAGGTATGGTATGGATATAAAAAACTATTATGTTAATACCATACATCATGATGATTAAAGTGCTCATGAGGGCATGATTTAATTTCTCATGAAGGTAGTCTAGTTTGTATTTTTCTGTATCTAGTATTTTCTATTCCCCTAACCAGGCGGAAATGTGACCTGGTCCATTATTTCTGCTGTAATTGGTATCATGAAAATGTGGACATGGAAGACATTACAGGATCCTTTCTTCTCCTTTCTATTTACTCCTTTCTCTTTGGTGGGGATTCATGAATCTGTCATTTTGTGATCTTCGCCCTGGACATTATCATCGTCATCATCTGAACCGTCACCTTCGTCTTCCCACTCTCCGCCCACGTCTTCGCCATCATCGCTGTCACTAACATCGCCCA